TTCTGCTGGGGATTCAGATCCGCATATCCCTGCATGGAAACTAAAATCTTTTTTGCTTCTTAATTCAATCACATACCCAACTGGCAATCTTGCATGTCAAAATGGGAATCCTGGGAGGCTGTTGGAATATGCAGATCAACAGAAGCTAATTAGCATTAACTTGCAGCCATCCTGAACTGATTGGCAGCACAGCTGTGGGGACCCAACAAAACATGCTGAGTCGCATGTTTGTCAGGCCACCTGCCACTTGGCAGAATCCAAAATAGTGCAAACCACCAGGCCATAATAACTCAGTGACCTTAGTTTGGGAGGAGTCGGGAACAGACATATTTGGATCACACAGTAATTAGTATGGCCTTCACCTGACATGCATGCAACAATAGGCTTTATGGCAGTACCTTTCTCATCTGATACGTTGACGTCTTAATTCGGGTTGACAGCTTCTTCCTGAGGCTACCAGTTCTCCATGAAGTTTATAATTTTACTCATGATCACTGCAGCTTGCCTGGGCTACAGGCACTGAGACGTTCTATGTATCTGAGATGTAGAATTTCGTATCCTGAAGCCTGGCTCTCATTTTTTAAATCTAGGGTACATTTTAGGAATAAACACAAAAGACATTAGGGAGAGAGCACACCAGGCAGCATGGGAGCCCGAGATGTTTTGAGATATTGTGGGTTTTGTTTTTGTTTGACTTTCAGGTATTATTGAAGATCTGAATTCCCTCTGACTGCCCTTAGTTAACCTTTCTCAATTTACCGTTAGGGTAAGTTCACTGTGTCAAAAATCCTCTTAGTCACTTTTATGCTATCCCTCCCTATCACTGCTGGTAACCCTTCCTCCCTTTACACATGGTTTGTGAAATGTCTTAAAAATAGATTTCACCTGGAGTGGGTGAAACTCCAACCCTGAGATAGCGAAATAGGTTTCAGCTTGTATCTTGACTCTGGTCAATTGATAATGACAGCTGGAACACTGTATGGGGATGGCTTTGAAGCCATATTCTTGCTCACAAGGAAAGGATGATGTGATGGGTGAAGATGGGATCAATGGACCACGAATGAAGTAAATGACATCTTTACTCTAAATTGCTCTTTAATCATTATTTTTTTCCTTAAAGGTTTATTGTATTTTTAATTAAGAAAAAGGAATTGTATATAATTATGGGCTACAATGGGATGTTTCAATACATTTATACACTGTGAAATGATAAAATCAGGCTTATTAGCATATCTATCATCTCAAATATTTATAATTTCTTTATGGTGAGAACAGTTAAAATCCTTTTTTATTGATGTTTTGAAATACACAATACGTTATTATCAACTACAGTCACTGTGTGTGCAATAGAACATTATACCTTATTTATCTTATCTCACTGATGTTGATCAATCTCTCCCTTTTCTCATCCACTCTTCGCCCAATTCCAACCTCTGGTAACCACCACCATTCTACTCTCTACCTCTGTTAAGTTCGATATTTTTAGATACCACATATATGTGAGATTATGCAGTATTTGTCGCTTTGAACATGGCTTATTTCACTTAATAATGTGTTCTAGGCTTATCCATGTTGTCAAAAATGAAAGAATTTCCTGGGTTTTTAAAAGGCTGAATAGTATTGTATAGTATGTGTATACCACCCTTTAAAAAATCCATTCATCCATTGATTAACACTTAGGTTGTTTTCATATCTGGTCCATTGTGAATAATGCCACAATGAACATGGTAGAGTAAGCATCTCTTCCAATACTTATTTCAATTCATTTGGGCATATACTCAGTAGTGGGATGGTTGGATTATATGGGAAATTTATTTCTAACTTTTTGCAGATCCTTTATATTATTTTCCAAAATGGCCATACTAATTTACAATACTATCAGCAGTGTATAAGGGTTCCCTTTTCTTCACATCTTTGCCAAGACTTGTTATCTTTTGTCTTTTTGATGATAGCCAATCTCTCACTGTGGTTTTAATTTGCATTTCTCTGATGATTATATTTATTTAGCATTTTTTTTGTATATCTGTTGGCATTTATATCTTCTTTTAGAAAGATCTATTCAAGTCCTTTGCCCTTTTTAATAGGCTTATTTGTTTTCTTATTATTTAGTAGTTTAAGCTCTCTGTATATTTTGGATACTAGCCTCTTATCTAATGTATAATTTGCAAATATTTTCTCTCAGTTGGTGGGTTGTCTCTTCAGTCTATTAACTTTTTACTGTGCAGAAACATTTTATCTTGATGAAATCCTATTTGTCTATTTTTGCTTTGATTGCCCATGCTTTTGAGTTCATATCCAAGAAACCACTGCCCAGATCAATAGAGCTTTCTCCTATAATTTTTCTGATTTCAGATCTTATACTCAAGTGTTTAATCCATTTTGAATTGATTATTGTATAAGGAGTGAGACAAGGGTATATTTTAATTCTATGTATGAAAATATTCAGTTTTCCCACCAACATCTATTGAAGAGACTATTATTTCCCCACTGTGTATTCTAGGTACCCTTGTTGAAAATCACTTGGCTGTAGACATACAGGTTTATTTCTGAACACTCTATCCTACTCCATTGGTTGATGTGCCTGTTTGTAATAGCAGTATCATGCTGTTCTGATTGCTATCAGTTTGCAGTATATTTTTATCTGGTAGTCTGATGCTTCAGTCTTTGTTCTCTTTGGTCAAGACCTTCTTAGCTTCTTGGGTTATTTTGTGGTTCCATATGCATTTTAGAATTTCTTTTTCTATTTCTGCAAAGAATGACATTTGAATTTTGATAAGAATTGCATTGAATTGGTAGATCACTTTTTGTAGTATGCCTATTTTAACAAAATTAATTCTTCAATCCATCAACATGAAATACCTTTACATTTATTTGTGTCATATTTAGTTTCTTTTATCCATGTTTTACTGTTTTCAGTATACAGATATCCTGATGCCTTGGTTAAATTTATTCATAAGCATTTTATTTTTTATACTATTATAAGTGAGATTTTCTTAATTTATTTTCAGACAGTTTATTGTTAGTGTATAGTAATACTATTGATATTTCATTTTGTATTCTGCAACTGTATCCTGTAGCTTTACTCAATTTGTTCATCAGTTAGAACAGCTTTTTGGTGGGTCTTTAAGATTTTCTATATACAAGATCATGTTGTCAGCAGACAAACAATTTCACTTTATCTTTTTCAGAAAGCTGCTGGAATTGGGCCTGTTGTATGAGAGATTTAGTTATTGATCCAGTTTCCTTACTTGTTCTTGATCTGTTCAGATTTCAAATTTTCTTATAATTTAGTATTGGTAGGTTATATGTTTTAGGAATTTATTCATTTTTTCTAGGTTGTCCAATTTGTTGGTGAATAGTTGTTCTTAGCAGTCTCTTATGATCATTTGTATTTATTTGTTATCATTTCTAATGTTTCCTCTTTCATTTCTAACTCTCTTAATTTGTTGCTTCACTCTTTGTTCTTAGTCTAGCTAAGATTTCATTGCTTTTGTTTAGTTTTCGAAAACACCAACATTTACCTTAGTTGATCTTTTCTCTTGATTATCTAGTCTCTATTTCATCTATCTCTGCTGTGGTCTTTATTATTTCCTTTCTTGTGCTAACTTTGGGCTTAGTTCTTGTAATTTGTTGAACTGTAATGTTAAGTTTTTTATTTGAGATCTTTCTTCTTTGCTAATGCATGTGTTTATTGCTATAAACTTCTCTCCTCTAACTACTTTTACTTTATCTCCAAGGTTTTCATATGTCGTGTTTCCATTTGTTGTCTCTATATTTAAAAAAAATTTTAAACATTTCTTCTTTGACTCAATAGTTGTTCTGTATTATGTTAATTTCTTTTTTTTTTTTTTTTTTAAAGGAAGAAAAAGAATTAAAAAAAAAAAAAAGAATAAAGGAAAGGAAGAAAGAGGAAGAGGAAGAGGGAGAGAGAACAGGGGTGTTGCTTTATTGCCCGGGCTAGAATGCAGTCTAAAACTGGGTATGCCTGTAATTGTGTTTAATAATAGAGACATTAAAAAAAAATGTATTATGTTAATTTCTACATATTTTTATTTTCTATTTCTCCCATTATTTATTTCTAATTTCACACTCTTGAGATTAGAAAAGATGCTTAATAAGATACTGATATTTTTAAATTTGTTAAGACTTATTTTGTGGTCTAGCATAATATCTATCCTGGAGAATGTTTTGTGTGAACTTGAAAAGAATGTATATTCCACTCAACAGCAACAAAATATACATTCATACATTTACATATACATTATAATGTATATAAGATATAATGTATATACAGAATATAAATGCAATGTATTTATAAATTTATATTTATTCTATGTACATAATACATACAGATTATAAATGTAATACATACATATATACATTGATATTCTGTTGCTGTTGGGTGGAATGTTCTGTACATATCTGTTAGGTCCATTTGGGCTAAAGTGTAGGTCAAGTCCAATCATTTAAAAGAAATTGAGCCGGGCGCGGTGGCTCAAGCCTGTAATCCCAGCACTTTGGGAGGCCGAGGCGGGTGGATCACAAGGTCAAGAGATCGAGACCATCCTGGTCAACATGGTGAAACTCCGTCTCTACTAAAGCTACAAAAAATTAGCTGGGCATGGTGGTGCGTGCCTGTAATCCCAGCTACTCAGGAGGCTGAGGCAGGAGAATTGCCTGAACCCAGGAGGCAGAGGTTGCGGTGAGCCGAGATCGCGCCATTGCACTCCAGCCTGGGTAACAAAAGCAAAACCCCGCCCAAAAAAAAAAAAAAAAAGAAATTGATTTTCTGTGGAATGATCTATCCAATGTAGAAAGTGGAGTATTGAATATTCTACTATTATTGTGTTGCAGTGTTTGTCTCCCTTCAGATCTCTTAATGTTTGCTTTGTATATGTAAATGCTCTGATATTGGGTGCATATATATATTTGTAATTGTCATATCATCTTGATTTATTGACCTCTTTATTGACTATATAATTACCTTCTTTGTTTCTTTTGACAATTTTTGATCTACAGTCTATTTTGCCTGAAAATATTATAGCTACCCTGTCTCTGTTTGTTTCCATTAGCATGGAATTATTTTTTTCTATCTCTTCACTTTTGTCGAAGTGTCATTAAATGTAAAGTGAGTCTCTTGTAGGCAGCATATACTGAGTCTTGCTATAGTATTTAAAATGTCCATTTAGCCACTCTATGGCATTTTATTGGGTAATTAATATATTTACATTCAAAGTAGTTATTGATTTGTAATAACTTATTTGTACCATTTTGTTAGTTATTTTCTTATTGTTTTGTACATCTTGTGTTTCTTTCTTCCTCAGCATTTTATTTTGTGGTTTGATGGCTTTCTGTAGTTGTATGTTTTTTATCTTCTTTTTTTGTATCTTCTCTTTTTGTCTTCTGTATTTCTATTATAGGATTTTGCTTTGTGGTTACCCTAATGCTTACATAAAACATCTTATAACAGGCTATTTTAAGCTAATAACAACTTAGCCTTGATTCCAAATATTAACTTTGTCCTTTTACTATTACTCCTCCCATGTATTGTGTTTTTGATGTTACAGATTACATTTTAAAATAATTTTTATTCATAAAAAGTCACTGTCGTTTTAGTTGTATTTTGATAGTTTTGCCTTTTAACCTTTATATTAGAGATATAATTGATTTACCCACTGCCATTACAGTATAAGGGTATTTTGAATTTGAGAGTGTACTTACTTTTACCAGTGATTTTATACTTCCATATATTTTCATGTTACTAATTAGAACTCTCTTTCATTAACTTGAATAACTCTCTTTAGCATTTCCTGTAAGATGAGTTGAGTAGTGGTAAACTCAGCATTTGTTGTTTCAGAAAGTTTTTATCATTCAACATTTTTGAAAGAGAGGGATGCTGGGTATAGTAGTCTTGGTTAACATTCTTTTTTTTCAGGTTTTTGGATATATCATCCCACTCCCTTCTGGCTAGTAAGTTTTTTTTTTCCTGAAACATCCTCTGATAATATTAGGAAAGTTTACTTGTATATAACAATTTACTTATCCCCTGCCACTTTCAAAACTCTCTCTTAGTCTTTGATTTTTGACACTTTGATTGTAATATGTTTTGATATGGATCTCTTTAAATTCATCCTACTTGATGCCATTTAGGCTTCCTGGATCTGGATTTGTATTTTCTCCTTCAGGCTTGTGAAATTTGCTGCCATTAATTCTTTTGGCATATGTTCTGTCCCTCTGCCCCTTTCTCTTTCTTCTCCTTTGTTATTCTGATAATGAAAATGTTGGTATGCTTGATATCGTTCCATAATTTTCTTAAACTTTCCTCACTCTTTTTCATTCTTTTGTTTCTTTTTGCTCCATAGATTGTATGATATCTGATCACCTATCTTCAAAGTCACTTGTCCCTTCTTCTGCTTGATTTAGTCTGCTGATGAACCTCTCTATTCTTTGTTGAAACTCTTAGTTTGTGGCTGAACGTGGTGGTACATGCCTGTAGTTCCAGCACTTCTGGATGCCGAGGTGGGTGGATCACCTGAGGTCAGGAGTTTGAGACCAGCCTGGCCAATGTGGTAAAACCCTGTCTCTACTAAAAATACAAAAATCAGCTGGGTATGGTGGCATGTTCCTGTAATCCCAGCTACTTGGGAGATTGAGACAGAAGAATTGCTTGAACCCAGGAGGTGGAGGTAGCTGTTAGCTGAGATCATGCTACTGCACTCTAGTCTGTGTGACAGAGCAAGACTCTGTAAAAAAAAAAAAGAAGAAAAAAGAAAGAAAGAAAGAAAAAGAAAAGGAAAAAAAGAGAATTTCTCCATTTGTTCTTGCATTTCTCTTCTGACCTCAGTGAGCATAAAGTAAATCATGTATCTTCATTTTACTCAAGTTCATTTCTAGAAACTCTTCTTTCTAAATTTGGAATATTTAAAAATGGTTTCTTCATTTTTTTTTTTGAATCTCTGTATTGGTTTCTGCACATTGAATAAGACAACAACCTCTATCAGTCTTGTTATGCTGGCCTCCTGTAGGAGAAAGATCCCACCGATTAATCTGTCCAGAGATCTTAAGGTGAATCTTTGAATCTGAAGGATTTCTTTTTGTTTCTGGTGGCTCCCCAGAGCTTAGAATGTACAATAGCCTGTCAGTACCCCAAGACTGGTAAAGTAGGAGTTAGATTTTATAAATGTAGTTGATAATGTTAAGATGTTGGATGTTTATTACAGTTCCTTCTATGTTCCTGCTAAAGCTGAGTAGAGACATTAATATTTCACCCTGCATTAAGCTTCAGTGAGGCTCTGTGCCAAATTCCTGTACTCATGTTCATGTTAAACCCTCTGTTCTTGAAGAGATAGTTGCTGGAAGTGGATCCATTATATGCCCACCTATTTGTTCTCTGCGGGTTTAGGGCCACCCAGCAATGTAAAATCCATCAAGTCCCAGAGCTGAGTTGTTAGCAGACAGTCCTTTGGCTTAGAGCTTAGAGAAGTTGTGGCTCTGGATGCATGGCCAAATTCCTTCCAGGAAGAATGAGTACACCTGGATTTATCACTGTGCTGAGCTAGAGGAAAGGCTCATGAAGAGCCAACCTCTGGCTTTGGCTGCTGGAGGGCTATTTGTTTCTTCTTTTAGCTACTGATGCAAGTTTGCTAGAAGCCAGGCTAGCAAGTAGTCACTAGAAAACCCTTCCCAAAGAGAAAATGGGAGCTGCATGTCTGTGCCCCTTTTCTGCATTGCTCCAATGGAGATAACCTCTGAAACATTTGCATACTTATTAAATATTAGTTCTTTTTTTTCCGTGGTCTAGGGACACTCATATATGCCTGGTCTCTTTGGCTCCCAAAGCCAAGAAGTTTAACATGGAGTCTTTTGTGAGGTAGCTGTAAAAGTTGAGGTATTTGCTAGATGGTATAAACTCCTTCTAAGGAGAAACAGGGAGCTACATAGTTAAAGCCCCTTTTCTGCTCTACTCCTGGGGAATGAAGCCCCTGGAAGTGTTTATGCATCCACATAAAACTGTCAGTTTTTTTCCTATGGTCTAAATAGAGTTACATTTTCTAATTGTTCTCTGTTTCCAGAGCTAGGACGTTTAGGATGCTGTCCCTTGATAGAAGCTATAAAAGTTTGGGTGCTCTATGTGTGGACAAACTTCCTTCAAGAAGGATTAATAGACCTGGAATTGTCACAAGGGTGAGTCAGAGGAGAAGGCTCAAGAAGTGCCCATGTTCTCAGCTTGCCAGCAAGTTAATATTTGTCTGCTCTTCTAAATCCCTTATACAAGTTAGTTAGAAGCCAAGTCACAAAGTAGCCACTAGAACACTATGTCCTTTCCAGGGAGAAACAGGGTGTTGAAGTTTTTAAAGCCCTCTTTCTGCCCTGCTCCTAGAAGACAAAGCCCCTGAAAGTATTTGCATGCCTGTATAAAGAAAATACATGGGACACAGTTATGTAATCCTGTGTAACAAATATTTCTTAGATATGGTATCATAAGTCAATGAACAAATGATAAAAATAATAAATCAGGCTTCATCAAAATTAGGAAACTTTTTTCTTTTGAGACAGAGTCTTACTCTGTCACCCAGGCTAAAGTACAATGGCATGATCTTGGCTCACTGCAACTTCTGCCTCCCAGGTTCAAGCAATTCTCCTGCCTCAGCCTCCCAAGTAGCTGAGATTACAGGCACCTGCCACCATGCCTGGCTAATTTTTTATATTTTTATTTTTAGTAGAGATAGAGTTTCACCATATTGGCCAGGCTGGTCTCGAACTCCTGATCTCAGGTGATCCACCCACCTCAGCCTCCCAAAGCGCTGGTATTACAGGCACGAGCCACCGGACCCAGCCCGGACCCAGCCCAAGTACAAAAGTTTTATTAACTTTTGTACTTAATAAAACACCACTAGAGAAACTCACTTGTGACTAATCTCTTCCCTCCATTCCCAGAGTTGGTGAATTAAGGGCCAATCATGGGAACCTCAGAGTTAGGGCAGTCTATGTGAGGTTTAACTCCTTCTCTTCACAGGGAGAAGTTGTGTGTTGGGGATTCCTTTCCCAATTTTACGGTACAGTGCATAGAGGGAGGTCCATGCTTGAAAATGCCTCAGCGTTTTCTATCTGTTTAATGTGAATGTTTCTCCTTCAGAGGGTAGGAGTCTCTCAGCTGGTCTCTCACTTTCCCTGAGAGGGAACTGATCCGTGAATACATGTTTATTTGATCCATCCATGGGTAGAAAGAGAGTCAGGAGCTTCCTATTCCGCCATGTTGCTGATGTTAACTATTTTTTTTTAAGTAGTTTTGGAGTGAAGGGTGGCTGACACAGTGCATGAGGGCACCGTATAACAGAAAGGGAAAACAGGATCATGTAGATAAATAGGGTAATTTGAACTGCAACATCTCTTGTTAGCATTATAAAAGAAGGTAGCAAAGAATAAGCAACTAACATTTATAAGTCATCTGCAATGTTTCTATTACTTACATTCAGTCAGTAATTTGAGAGACAAATCTGAAGACTCAGAATGTTGGACAGGGTGACAGAGCTAGCAAATTATGGTGACAATATTGGAGCCTAGTCTTCGCTTATGCTTATGTTTATACTTTCCTTGCTAAACAATCATTTCACTTAGTCTGTAATGCAAGATGTGTCAGGTAAAGAAAACAGGGGCAGCATGGAACAGTACAATATGATACAAAGGGTTCTAACCCCCTCCCTATTATCAGTGAACCTGGACAAGTCACTTATTCTAATAATATTAAAAGCTCTCTTTTATTGGACCTGGGCATGCAATAAGCACTCAACATAATTGCTTGTTTAATTTTTACACCACTCTATGAAATAGGTGACATTAACTCTGTTTTATAGGTTAGGTTTTGAGAGGTTAAATGATTTTTCTAGAAACATCTGGTGAGTATCTAGGATCCAAGTTCATGTCTCTCAGGCTCGAAGCCTCCAGCTATTGACCAATATATCATGAAAGCACAATTATAAAATAAGAGTTTACACAATAAAGGAATGCTTGGG